GCGTCCCGGCTGAGCGGGCGCGGGCGGGGCAGAGAAGCAGGGGAGACCCCCTCCGCGTTTTTCTGAGGTTCCCTCCCAGCCCTTTAGTACGCGGCAGGGTGTCCAGAACTAGCGGGTTCGAGGGACTCGACGCGGGCGGGGGTCCCAGGGACCGGGAACGTTTGCGCGTCACCTGAGCGTGGCCCGTGTCTCCCTAGAGGGTGGCCCTGCGCCCCTCGGAGGTCGCCGTGTCCACGTCCCCATCACGTCGGAACCGAAGGACCTGAATTGGCCTCCGAACGGCCCCTCCCGTGTGGCTCCCCGGGGCGGGGGGGCTCAGGCCTTGGGCGCTGCGGAGACCTCCCGCCCTAAGGTTGGGAAGGTCTGGTTTCCGGATAAGGGACCGTTAGGGCCGCTGTTCAGACCCCTGCCTTGACCAAAGCAGGCTGCTGGCTGGTGGTGGCGGGTTCCTGAATGTGCTTTAGCCCTGGCTGTGTAGGGAGCCAGGGCCTCCTCCAGTCACAGAGAAGGGCGTTTACACCCGCATTTTCGTGGGGTTCTCAGTGGGATCTGTGACCCACAGAGGTTCAGAAGGGCCTTCCTGGGATACAGCAGGGTCTGGCCAAGCCTGAGGGGTGGGGACGGGGCCACTCCCACAGCCCTAGTTCCAGATGGTCACAGGAGCGCTGGCCTCCCTGAGCCCCCACCAAGCTTTCCCAGGAGGAGGACACCCTGGGGCCACCTTTCATCTGGCTACGGAGGACACAGGAGTGTCGGGCTGGATGTGGGGAGCATGTGCAGCCTGGGCAGCCGCCTGAGGCTCTCCTTCCACCCCGCTGCCGCCCACAGCACCTCCCGATGACTGGATTCTGGAGTCAGAGTTTGGGTGACCACACCCTGGTCGGTTTTGCTCACGTGCTTCGGGTCGGGTGGATTCAGTTCCTCCGCGTGGGGCCGTGGGGTGTCACCGCCCTTTACCACTGTCCTTGCAGGCCTGGCGCCCAGGCGTGTGGACCCGAGCCCAGCCTTGCCTCTTTCCTCCTGGTTGGTACCAGGGGCCTCTTCCCTCCACTCATCCGGAGTGGACCAGCCGCCTCTGAACCAGCCCCGGGAAGAGGAGTGCCTGGCACACAGACTCAGGCAGCTGGGGGTGTCGGGGCACCAGGAGCCTCTCGAGCGGTCCTGTTGGCCGTCTTTCTGAAGGGCAGCTGGGGTTGCGTCATTTTCTGGAGTGGATCCTGCCACCTTCCTGGGGCTTTTGGATGAGAGCCCTCTCCCCAGCCCTGCCCGCCCTTCCCCTCAGTGTGGCATCAGGGCTGCTGCTTCCAGGGAGGCCTCCTGGCCGTCGAGCCTCCTCTCCAGGTTCCTGCCCTGCTGTAGTCCCCAGGCCAGTGGTTGGCAGGTGCTCAGGGAATGTATCCACCTACCGAGGTTTGGGGTGGCTGTCTCTGCCTGACCACTTCCTTTCCCCAGGCCCCTGGCAGGTACCTGAGCTGTGCTCGCAGGGCTTCAGGAACCTCCTTCCATATTCAGGGCCTGTGCCTGGGGAGGTTTCAGGATGTGGCAGCCGTGCCCGTCCCAGGCTGACTCTCCCAGCTTGCCTGGCAGTCTGGCCTCTGGGCTGGTGTGCCGTGGGACAGGGGATGTGCCCTGGCCTGGTGCAGAGTCCCCAGCCCCAGAAGGGGGCCATGGAAGCTGGCACCCCAAGTGACTGCACCACCTGCTTTGTCTTGCTTGGGACACTGGCTGGGTCCAGGATCCTGGCATCCTGGGAGGTCTCTGGCTTTGTGGGCAGCCTGCCTGGCCCGCCCAGTCTGCCTGTCCTCAGAGTGAGACACAGGCCAAGTGCACAGACTCCCTTGCTCCCCTGCGGGGGCCTCCAGGCTCACAGACCACCCCACCCTACCCTGTCCTTGCCCAGGCAAATGAGAGGCATGGGCTTCCTGGACTGCTGCTGTCCCGCCCTCTATAAGGCAGGAGGAGGTGCCCACAGAGGCTGGGTGGCGACAGCCAGGTGGTGGGCTGGCATCTGTGTTCCCAAGCTCTGCTGCCCATGGTGGCCTTTCTGGGGGTGGGTGCTGGTCCCTGCCCCCCTGCCCCACTCCCGACATCTGCTCCAGAGACGAAGGTGGGGAAGGTGCTGAAGAGGAGGTGTTTGCTCCGGGAGAGGCTGCGGCTCCTCCTGAAACATCAGCCCTGTGGGTCCTGTTTGGACTTTTCTCGTTTGCAGAATCTCCGGCCTGTGAAACCGTGAGGGGATTTGGCCAAGACGTTCTCTTCCTTCTGCCTCCCACCCAGCCACTCTTCACCTCCACCATGAGCCTGGACATCCAGTGTGAGCAGCTGAGTGACGCTAGGTGGGCCGAGCTCCTCCCCCTGCTCCAGCAGTGCCAAGTGGTCAGGTACGCTTGCCCTCGGGGTGGCCTTGGGGTGCTGGCAGGGGCAGGCTCGCGGGTGGCGGCTTCCTCTGAAGGGTGCACTGCTCTGGAATGCCTTGTTTATGGACGTGAAGTATGAATTCCATGCAGCTTCCACGTGCATGAAATGTGATTCTTGTGCTTCTCGTCGACCATTTAGAAATGTAAAGCCCATTCCAGGCTCATGCGGTGTGGGCCGGCACTGGCCAGTGGGTGTCTGGCTCTGGTGTCTCCACCCGTCTCCCTCCCTTGCAGACACGAGGGCAGGACACAGCTGGGGTCCCCTCCATGAGCCTCCGTGGGGCGCTGCCTGTCCCTGCCAAGCTGGGGGCTGGGAGTCCTTGGCCCTCGAGGTCCTCACAACCCCAGTGGCTTCACAAGCAGGACATGAGTGCCTGGGTGGGTCTCATCTTGTCTCTTTCTAGCTGGTTATTTGAAGTAGTGTCAGGTTTGCGGAGGGTTATGAGGGCTGTACGGGGCTCCCTGGTGAGGTGGTCCTGTGTACCTGCGGACGCTAGCTCTGGCCCAGCACCTCCAGGCAGAGTCTGCTTTTCCGTCCTGCCCTTTTCTTCCTGACTGGTCCAGGATTGCGTGGCCCTCAGTCCTCCGTCTCCTTAGCCCTCTCCACGTCTGTGACTGTCCCCTCATCTCTCTGGGTTCTGGTGATCTGAGGGTCTGGCCGTGCTCCTGTAGGACGTCCTCTCTTGGGGCTTGTCTGATGGTTTCTCATGGTTGAAGTCCCGCATTTTTGGCAAGAATCCTCTTCACTGTGACGCCACTGCCTTTCCTCCTGTGACCGATCAGTGCCTTCGAGAGATACTTTAAATTCTTTGTTTTTAGAGACGGCCTCGCTCTGTCGCCCAAGCTGGAGTGGTTCCATCACGGCTCCATCATGGCTCATGAAGCCTCGACCTCCTGGGCTCAAGCAGTCCTCCTGCCTCAGCCTCCCGAGTAGCTGGGATTACAGGCACCTGCCACCACGCCTGGCTACTTTTTGTATTTTTAGTAGAGACGGATTTCACCATGTTGGCCAGGCTGGTCTCGAACTCCTGACCTCAGGTGACGCCCACCTCGGCCTCCCAAAGTGCTGGGATTGCAGGTGTGAGCCACCGCGCCCACTCTGAATTTTGTAATTTCTTTCTTTTCTCCACATTGATCAATTGTCATTCTTTTGTGAGCAAGACCTGGTTTTTTTCCTAGCTGTGTTTATTCAGTTATTCATTTAATCAGGAAGGACTGGAATATGTGTATTTGTCATGTTAGAAGCTGGTGTCACTGTGTATTTGCTCCGGTGTCTGAACTACCTGCTGCGTCCTGTTCCAGGCAGTTCCCGTAGGTGTTACCTCAGACAGGTTTGATTTTTTTCCCTAGAGACAGACCAGGAGCTTTTGTGCTTCGTGCCTCAGGGTTGGAGGTGAGGAGCCCGTGAGGCCTCAGGCACATGTCTGCATACGTGCAAGCATCTTAAAACTTTCACAGAACAGTTCCCCTCTTTTTTGTTTCATTTCTGCAACGTCCTGTGTGACTTGCCTTGCTGTCTTCTGGGCCCGCTGATGGGTTGTAATCTGCGCGTGGGGTAGTGGTGGAGCCTGAGCGTGGCCCGCATGACCCTGGGGTCTGGTTGCAGGCTGGACGACTGTGGCCTCACAGAGGCACGGTGCGGCGACATCAGCTCGGCACTCCGAGTCAACCCTGCACTGACAGAACTCAGCCTGCGCAGCAATGAGCTGGGTGATGCCGGCGTGCACTGCGTGCTCCAGGGCCTGCAGAGCCCCTCCTGCAAGATCCAGAAGCTGAGGTGAGGTGGGGCCTGGCACTGCCTCTGGCCTGGTGCGGCCTGCTTTGGTAGCCCGGCAGCAGGGGACAAAGCTGCCAGGGGCTCGTGGGCAGCTGTGGGTGGGCAGGCGGTGGCAGCGGGCATTTCCAGCATCAGCCAGAGGCACACAGGCCTGGTGGCCTCATGGCGGGAGGACAGGGCCCCTCCTGCCTTGTCCCAGCGCCCAAGGTCTGGGCCCGCCCGCCATCCCTGGCCTTCCAGCATCACCACAGGACCCCTGCTGAAGGGTGTGTCTGCAGACAAGGTTTCCCTGAGCCAAGCCACACGTGTGCCCTCCTTCACTCGGCCTGGAGACCCCAGAGCCCTGTCCAGGGAAGGAGCAGTACAGACCTACTGCCTGCAGAGCGCCGCTCCAGGCTCCAGGCTCTGGCAGGTGAAGGGTGTGGCAGTTTGGCTCAGGGGAGCCCTGCTGACGGCCAGGTATGCTCCAGCCTCCAGAACTGCTACCTGACGGGGGCCGGCTGCGGGGTCCTGTCCGGCACGCTACGCTCCCTGCCCACGCTGCAGGAGCTGCACCTCAGCGACAACCTCTTGGGGGATGCGGGCCTGCAGCTGCTCTGCGAGGGACTCCTGGACCCCCAGTGCCGCCTGGAAAAGCTGCAGTGAGTGTGTCCCCTGCCCCGGGACCCATGCTCTCCACTGCCTGTCCCCCAGCCAGCCCCCTATATAGCACATCGCCTGCCAGGAGCCGTGAGGAGGGACTCAGGTCACAGGGTCCTTGTGGTGCTCTCTCCTCTCCATGATGCTGGGACTGGGGGGATCTTTCGTCACCCTCCCTCCCCCTCCAGTTGCCCTTTGCAAGGCACAGCTGCCCCAGGACCTGACAGTGGGAACAGACCTGGCCGTGAGTCCGGCTCCACTCACCACTTCAGTGTGTGTGGGGGGCCCGGCCACTGTGAGTTGACCACGGCCTGGCACGTGCAGGTGGCCTTGCCCTCCAGAGGCTGGTTTCTTTCTCCTGGGCCTGGTTGGGCCCCGAGGTCCGAGGTCGGGGAGGGGGTGAGGGGTTTCCGGAAGGAATGCCGGTGTCCACAGAGGCCTGGGCCTCTGGATGAGTCTGGGGGGGCCCTCAGCACTGCCACCTGATGCCGAGGCAGGAGAAGGCTGAGGGAGAGATGAGACACCAGCACCCCCCTGCACTCCCTGGCATCATACCCTTGGCTGGTGCACATTCCTGTGTGGTGCTAAGCTCGGCTATCCCCCAGGCTTGAGTATTGCAACCTCTCGGCTGCCAGCTGCGAGCCCCTGGCCTCCGTGCTCAGGGCCAAGCCGGACTTCAAGGAGCTCACGGTTAGCAACAACGACATCAATGAGGCCGGCGTCCGTGTGCTGTGCCAGGGCCTGAAGGATTCCCCCTGCCAGCTGGAGGCGCTCAGGTAGGCCCTGGGCCTTGGGGAGGTGCGGGGTGTGGGCTGGGGGGTCCCATGCTGCTTCATGCGTGACCTGCGTCCCCAGGCTGGAGAGCTGTGGTATCACGTCAAACAACTGCCGGGACCTGTGCAGCATCGTGGCCTCTAAGGCCTCGCTGCGGGAGCTGGCCCTGGGCAGCAACAAGCTGGGTGATGTGGGCATTGCAGAGCTGTGCCCAGGGCTGCTGCACCCCAGCTCCAGCCTCAGGACCCTGTGGTGAGTCACCTCCCCGAGGCCTCCTTCCTGGAGGATAAGGGGCTGCGGGCCGTCCTCAGCCCTCCCCCACCCGCTGGGCGCACCTCAGGCCATGAGATGGCGCTGAGGAAAGTCTGGGGGGGTCCATGTCCTGCAGGATCTGGGAGTGTGGCATCACCGCCAAGGGCTGCGCGGATCTGTGCCGTGTCCTCAGGACCAAGGAGAGCCTGAAGGAGCTCAGCCTGGCTGGCAACGAGCTGGGGGACGAGGGTGCCCGGCTGCTGTGTGAGACGCTGCTGGAGCCCGGCTGCCAGCTGGAGTCACTGTGGTGAGTGTGGCTGTCGGGGCAGGGCCCTGTCGCCCAAGAGAGGGCCAGGGTCACCAAGGAGACTAGGGGAGGAGTGAGCGACTCCAGTGGAGGTGCTGGGCTCAGCTCTGGCGTTCAGAATGCATGGGCCAGGGAGCAGCCTGTGGTTTGATAGTAACAGTGCTTGGGGCTGAGGACCAGGTGCAGGTGCCCATACCTTGGGAGGCTCTCAGATGTTTTTGCTCAGGTCCATGTGGGGCCTTCAGGAGAAGGGCCAGTTGCAATTGTAGGCCAGCCTGGTCCCCTGCCAGGCCTCAGTCCTGTCTGTCCACAGGGTGAAGTCCTGCAGCTTCACAGCCGCCTGTTGCTCCCACTTCAGCTCGGTGCTGACCCAGAATAAGTTTCTCCTGGAGCTGCAGATAAGCAACAACAGGCTGGGGGACGCGGGCGTGCAGGAACTCTGCAAGGGCTTGGGCCAGCCCGGCTCCGTGCTGCGGGTGCTCTGGTGAGTGTGAGAGGGACACGAGTACGCATATTTGGGAGGTCATGTGCACGTGTGTGAGCACATGGGCGAGTGAGCACAAGTGTCTGTGTGAGCACGAGTGTCCGTGTGTGCGAGCACATGGGTGAGAGTGAGCGCAAGTGTCCGTGTGTGAGCACGTGGGTGTGAGCACGAGTGTGTGAGCATGAGTGTGCACATGTGTGAGGCGTATGTGAGCACGTGTGTGTGAGCATGAGTGTGAGCATGTGTGTCCATGAAATCACATGGGTGAGAGTGAGCCCGAGTGTGAGCACAAATGTCCGTTTGTGTGAGTGTGAGCATGGGTGTCTGTGAGCACATGGTCAAGAGAGCACAAGTGTCCATGTGAGCATGTGTGAGCACGAGTGTCCATGAATGTGAGCATGTGTGAGCCCGAGTGTCCGTGTGTGTGAGCACATGGGCGAGAATGAGCAGTGTCTGTGAGTGTGAGCACATGAGTGTGAGCATGTGTGTCCATGAAATCACATGGGTGAGAGTGAGCCCGAGTGTGAGCACAAATGTCCGTTTGTGTGAGCACATGGGCATGCGCACGAGTGTTCATGTGACCACATGGGCGAGAGTGAGCATGAGTGTCCGTGTGTGAGTACATGGGTGAGCACGAGTATCCGTGTGAGCACGAGTGTGTGTGTGTGAGCACATGGGTGAGAGCACTAGTGTGTATGAGCGTGTCTGAGCACATGGGCGAGAGTGAGCGAGTGTACGTGTGTGTGAGCACGAGCGAGAGTGAGCACGTGTCTGTGTGTGAGCATGTGAGCATGAGTGTCCGTGTGTGTGAGCACGAGCAAGAGGAGTGTCCGTGTGAGAATGTATGAGCACAACTGTGTGTGTGAGCACATGGGCAAGAGTGAGCACAAGTGTTCGTATGTGTGAGCACGAGTGTCCGTGTGTGAGAACGTGTGGGCATGACTGCCCGTGTGTGTGAACACATGGGCGAGAGTGAGCCACGTGTCCGTGTGTGTGAGCACGAGTCTGTGAGCACATGGGTGAGAGCACGAGTGAGCACGTGAGCATGTGTGAGCACAAGCATGTGAGCATGAGTGTCCATGCGATCACGTGTGAGCATGATTGAGCACATGGGTGAGAGTGAGCATGAGTGTCCGTGTGTGAGAACATGGGTGAGCACGACTCCGTGTGTGTGAGCATGAGTGTCCGTGTATGAGCACATGGGTGACAGCACGTGTGTGAACACGTGTGAGCACAAGTGAGCACATGAGCGAGAGTGAGCATACATGTCTGGGAGCATGTGAGCATGATTGAGCACATGGGTGAAGAGTGAGCAAGAGTGAGCACGAGTGTCCATGTGAGCACGTGTAAGCATGATTGTGTCAGCACATGGGTAAGAGTGAGCATGAGTGTCCGTGAGAACATGAGTGTGAGCACGACTGTCCATGTGGGAGCACATGGGCGAGAGTGAGCACGTGTCTGTGAGCATGAGTGAGTGTGTGAGCACAGCAAGAATGAGCACACAGGCAAGAGTGAGCATGCGTGTCTGTGTGTGAGAACATGAGTGTGAGCACGACTGTCCATGTGTGGGAGCACATGGGTGAGAGTGAGCATTAGTGTGTGTGAGCACGTGTCAGCACGAGTGTGCATGTGCATGAGTACATGGGTGAGAGCGAGCATGCATGTTCATGTGCTGGGCAAGGCAGGGTGGTGGCACCACTTTGAGTTCTCTTTTTAGCTTTGAAAGAAGTCATAGTTCATGAAACCTGAGAGCTTTAGGCGGCTCTAGCCTCCCTGGCCACCCTGTGGTCCATCTTCCTGGAAGCCCCGCCCACCTTCCTCCCGCACGGGAACCCTGCCCGGCTCAGGATGTCTTTCCGGGTCAGGATGTCTTTCTGGATTTCCTCCCTTTGTTGAAGTACGTTTTCTTGCAGTTTCCTGAGAAATGTTTCTGCAGAAAGTAATTTTTGGAGGCCTTGTGCCCCTGCTCTGCCCTTGGATCATTTAGCTGGGTATAGCGTGTGCCATTGTGCCCAGCTTTTTTTTTTTTT